TGGTACGAAGTCTGGTATTAGATTATTCTCCAGGTGCTGGAAAATCCGCTGCACCTGAAACCTGGAATAATCTGCAGAACAACCTGAAGCTTGACTCATTTTATCTTTAGGGCAATTTAGGTTTATAATCTTATCTCATTTTAAGTTTTTGCTGCTCTTGTTTTACTTATTTCACCTGTTTTTAAATCTTAAATTAATTTCTAATCAGTGTTTTAGTTATTTTAAGGTTCTTATACGTGTATCTCCATCTTTTGTTTTCTCAGTCGGGCCCTAAAAAAAATCCCCATTCGGTTGAGATGTTAACAACTCCTAAACATCTGAAAAGTTTCCCGACGACACACTTTTTGTTTGGCTGGAAGCCGCTAGTTTAATTTATTTTAAAAGCTTGATTTATTAACTGCTGAGTGAAATCTTCATATTAACAGCAACTAAAGGTGTCAGATGAATCTAGTGGAGTAGAAAGTATAATATTTACATCTAAAATGTCATAAAGTGGAAGTATAACATAGAGTAAAATGGAAATACTCAGGAAAAGTGCCTCAAAAGTTTTCTCACTTGTGTCTGTTATTTAAATGTATGCAGCTTGGCGTTGTGTAAAAATATGCAGGAACCCTGTAAGAATCTCTGTAGCAACAATTACATCAATAAAGCTCAACCTTGCCGGGGTTTAAATGGAAGCTTTTACCATGTTTTGGTAAAAGGATGAGACCAACATGAAATGACGGTGTTGTTTTAATGCTCTAAAATATTCTGTGTTTTAAGTGACTTGCTGATTATTTCTGCTGTTGCATCGTGCACTCGTGCATTATTCATAATTTCCAAGGTGTGGTTGTGTGTTTAGGATCCACAGCCACGATGAGGTAATCTCGATAAAACGCATCCTGTTATAGATCTTGCAGCATTTTCTAACACGTATTAGCTGAGAAATAATCTTGTCATCACAGAAGCTGTTTTAACTCGGAACATATTTGCCGCTGTGGATAATGATAGTCTGTCAGAGCTTCTGCATTCGATTTGGATCCGTCCCTCCTGATTCTGCCAGAGGAGATTTCTCACATTCTGAAGCAAATCGAGCCCAATTGCTCTAAAATTGGACCAAATCAAAACACGGAGTGGTTCTCACAGTGAGGATGACATTTATCACCATTAGCTCATTATTACCTAATCGTCTGGAGTCAGAGTTACAGGAATTAGCTTTTTGAAAACAACAAAGCCAAAAAACGATGTGTTCGGTGAGAGAGAAACCTGTAATTTTCCTGTTTTAATGTCGATTTCTCTGTTTGGCTCAGACGACTCGGCGGCCGGTGAGAAGACGGTTCTCCACATCGCCGAGGAGACGGACGACGACTTGTTGGCCAGCACGCCTACAACGCACACCACCGAAGACCTGTTCACCATCATACACAGGTGTGCATCCGTTCAACAGATGCTTTTCCTCAAACTTGTTCCCGTAGCTCCAACGCCGAGCCCGCCTGGCAGCTTTTTATAACCCAGAACATGTGATGAAATACGTATTGTCTTGCTGAAAAGGTGTGAGGCGGGCGGACGGAGCATAAGGTTCCCTAGCAACAGCTACATGTACGCAGGGTTCAGCACGACCAGCGGCTCTGATTTTGTCCTTTTTTTTCAGCATCCCTCTCTCTCTCTCTCTCTCTCTCGCTCCACGCACACAGTTATGGAGGCAACACAAGAAAGCTAGTCTCTAAGCAACAAGTGTTCATGATTTTACCTTGTGTGCTGCTGAAAATAGCTTGAAAGGCAGACGAGAAAGGGTGAGGAGGGGGGAAGGAAGATCAGGAGTTTTCATCTCACATGAGGGAAGGATGGAGTCCCCTCTGTAGTTACAAATCTGATTTGTTCTCTGAAGGCAGTCGATCCAGGTGTGACTTGAGGAGTAAATTTGAACAAATGCACCATTTCCTCTTCTTGATCTCCACCTTTGCTGATAACCGTCTCTTCTCCTCCAGGTCCAAGCGAAAGGTTCTGGGTCGTAAGGAGCCGTCGGACTCCTTCGGCAGCCGCCAGAGTCTGGTGTCTCCGGTGAAGCACAGCACCAGCGGCAGCGACCTCCGGAACCTGACGCTGGGCAGCAGCCAGCGGTCGAGCTCCCGCAACGAGAACTTCATGGCTCTGCTCCAGAAGAAAGGCAGCAAGTCTTCCAGCGGAGGAGCTCGGGTCTCCGCCATGGAGCTTCTGAAAAGCACAAACCCGCTGGCAAGACGCGTCACAGAGTTTTCCGCCTCCACGGCGTCGGCCGCCGACGGAGGAGAGGCGACGTCCGGGAACGACAAACCCAACGACCAATGAACGGATTAACGGGTGTTAACCGTTTGCTGTTGACAACGCTACCAACCAATTCCACAACCTGCCACCCTCTGGGGACGGGACCTTCTCACTGACATGTCCAACCGGATCGCTCCAACTACTGATTGACCATTTGCACCGTCCAATCAAATTGGAGCACACTTTTGGACAAAATGGTCCCTCCCACGGTTGGAGCGCTGTTGTTCCCTGTCACACCGGTCCCTGCAGGAAAGCAAGACGTCAGTGGAGGGGAAGGTTTGTTCTCACTGCATATTCAACGAAAGGGGGAGGTTTGGAGCTCACGCCTCAACACTGCAACGAGTTCTCCTCACTGGGAATGTGTTCAGTGTGGAGGCCGGATGGAATATTCGCTGGGAATGTGAAGCTACACAGGGAATGTCTGGACTCCTGGCTGCCTCTGGATGAAGGAGAGTCCCCGATGACGACGGTGGTGAATATATCTGAATCTGTAACCACACTGATCCGCCAGGATGATGCACAGGATCAGCAATGTAATGCATAATTAATGGAATAACATACAGAGTCATCCACGATTTACCCAGCTCCTCCAGCCGGTCGCGCCCCCACAGGGCCGACGCCCGCAGACCTACACCAATCAAACGGCCCGACGAGGCGACTGAGACGAGACATACGTCCATAGCAGCCCTGACACCGTCAACAGACAGAAGCTACAAACCACACGGGGGCTTTTTTGCCACCAAAGATGAGGCATGAGCATGTCACACGTTTTGTTGCTCGTGCTGCGAACCTTCAGAAAACATTCCACAGAGGCACCCAGCAAACGGACGACATTTGGAGCGAAAGCACTTTTCTTTTCCGTTGGAGGTCGTTTACACGGTGCGGTCGCTGCGCCGCCACACTTTCTCACCAGTCATTATCTCCTCAGTCGTCGTTTAGATGTTATTTTTGTCGCCCGTTTCTTCCACGTGGCCATTTTCCTCCGGTTGGATCGTACTGTGTGTATCGTGTACAAAGATAAATGTAACAGACAACTATCACCTGCACACACACACACACAAAGACTAAAAATAGTGTACAAAGCAGCTTGGACGACAAACTTCCCACGCGACGAAGGGAAAACACACACTCCCACACACACACACACACACAGACTGACGAGTAACGCCATGGAGCAGAAAAGGCCAATCTACACAAGTGTGAGTGTGTCCATGACGAGTGTGTGTGCAGATGAAATCACGCCTGTGGAGTTTCTGTACGGAGAGCATGAAGCAGGCTGGTTGTTAAACAGGGTTTTTATTCATTCTGGTCTCTGGTGTTGGGACCAAAGGACTGTTAAAGACTACAAGCAGACCAGAGGGGACCTGGTGGTGTGCGTTTGTGTGTGTGTGTGTGTGTGTGTGTGTGTGTGTGTGTGTGCGTGTGTGTGTACATGTGTGTGTGTGTGGCGGGCAGTGCCAAGAACCAAGCGGGATAAAGAGAGAGAGAGCGAGCGCATGTACGTGTGCCTGTTTGTGCGTTTGGCATGTTTGTGTGCATCTGCACTTCGCGTCGCACATTCGTTTGTGTGTTTGTGTGACTTTGTGTGACTTTGTGTGCTTGTGTGCATCATCGCCGCCTCCCTCTCTGATCTGGGACGGGTTTAGAACCTCCTCAGCAGCATCCTCCCCTCGCCATCACGCCACGAAGGACCCGGAACCGCGAGGACCCCAGGACCTGAAACCTGAAGGATTCGAGAATTGTTTACGTTTAAAGGATTCCAGAACCGAAAGAACTCCGGAACCAAAAGAGGCTCAAAGCGTTTGGAATTGAACGAGAACCAAGAATCTGTAGGATTCTGGAATCAAGACTTCCTGGAATTCTGCAATGTTTTAGTTCCGGAATCGTTTCGGTCCAGATATTCTGTCGGCTAAATGATTCCAGAACAAAGAGCCTAAAGGATTCTGGAACAGTGAGAGGTTTCCAGAACCAAGAATCTGTAGCATTTCAGAATCGAGACTCCTCGGAATTCTGGAATGTTATAGTTCTGGAGTTAGTTTTTTTTTTAGAACCTAAAGACTTCTGGAACCACAAACCTGAAGGATTCAGGAATCAAGAATGCTTTGAATTCCGGAATCATTTAGGTTTCGGAAACTTTTCAGGTTCCCGGATTTTAGGATTCCGGAACTAAGAGTCTAAAAAAATTGCGGGACCAACAGCGTTTTGGAATCGAGACTCTTTGGGATTCCAGAATCTTTTAGTTCTGGTAGTTAAAAAAAAAAAAGGGGGAGGAGGTGAAGGATTCTGGAACCGAGAGCGTAAAGGATTCTAGAACCCGGAGGATTCAACAATGGGTGGATTTGTAGAAAGCCTTTTAGGTCCCAGAATGTTTGAGGTTCCTGAAACCTTCAGGCTGAGAGGTTTCCAAAGGGATTCTGGAACCAAGAATTTAACCGATTCTAGAATCGACAATCTGTGGAGTTCCAGAATTTTTTTTTTAGGTTTTGGACTCTTTTTTTTTTTAAAACCCTGGAACTGGAATAAGGCTGAATAATTCCACAAACAAGAGCCTAAGAGATTCCAGAACCAGGAGCCTGAAGGATTCAGGAACCTAAAGGATTCTGTGATCGACCTGAAGGGTCTCTGAAGCGAAATGGTTCCGGTAGCCGAGAGATTCCAGAACCAAGAGGCTCAAGGATTCGGGAATCAGTGGATTGCAGAAGCGTTCCAGAACCGGAAGGACTCTGGGACGCCTGTCAGAGGCTGGAATCCTAGAATGAGGGAACGTTCGTGAGGCCTGAGAACTGGGAGGTCGGCTGGAGAGTCTCCGTTCCCTCCGTCTGTCCGTCTGCAGTGTTGCAGAGTGACGTCGAGGTGGAGAAGAGTTCGGTTGCTTCGCCCTCCTCCGTTCACGTTCTCACGCTCCGGCTGGTTCCTTCCATCACTGCTCTCCTCCTCCCTCCATC